GCCAGGATGTTTGCCACGATTACAGCGTTTATGTTGTGAATAATGAATAAAATACATATTAACCTGTACGTTTTCATTATTTCAACATATTATTACATATTAGTCATTATGACATTTATCGTACAATCAGCTGTGCACACGTTTCCCGGCGATCAAGTTCAAACATGCACAATAATATAACGGGATGAATTCTGGCAGTCATCAGTAAAATATAATACAGAATACTATTAATTAACCCACAGAAATATATCCTACCATTGTGTAATTTTAATTACAGTTTTTGTTCTAATATGTCGACAAAAAAATATTTCATTCAGCTAACGACAATATTTCATCACAAATTACATAATAAATATTATATATATTTTGCTTTACATGATTACTTTGAATTTGAAAGTCTAAACTATTTAAGAGACAGACAGTGCAAACCAATCCTTCGTTAGCCATTACGTGAGACCAAGATATTGCTAATATTTACTCTATAGGAAGAAGACTATTCTTGTGAAATGATTTCATCTAAACATGTCACATGACCCATCCCAGTTTGACTGAATTACGAATAAATTATTCATATTTGACATTTCAAACGATATCAATTTCTTACTATTATGACAATTATCTCTAGCCTGCCACTCTGAGGCAATTATAACACTGAAAAAATAATGTTCATTTGAATTCATAGAGACCATAATTTGTAAAATTGGAAATTGAACATCATTTCTAAGTCAAGATAAAAATATTGGCATATGTTTAAAAGTTTGAATGACCATTCAGATAAATAAGTAACAAAAACCTTCACAAGTCTCAAGGTGAAATATTACCATTAACTTATATAAGAGGTCAAGGTCAAAAGAACTGCCCTTTCACCTACAGGTCAAGATCACAGTCACCCTTCATGAAAGTTAAAAGTAGCCACCCTACAATAAAAAACAAACAAAAACAGCACATATGCACAACCAAGTAAAACACAAACAGTAACAATGGTGAAAGATCGAAGTTAGGAAATGGAAACATATAGTTAACAAGGAATATATATGTATCACACTTGGCACTGTTCAAGAATTGATGACTTAGCTGCATTTTCAAACTTCTAAGCACTACTTAATACACATATTACACAAACCTGAATGCTCATAAACATATCTGTATAGACAATTAATCCAAGTCACATTTCCAAGTTCATTGTTGAAGATAAAGTCACTGATGTCCCTGCAATGGTAAATATCTCCTGTGAACAATATATAAAAAAAGTTCCCATGGAAACACAGAATTAATTTTTCAAAAATCCCACACTATGAAAAGAAACCGCTTGACCTATCGATCCAAGTTCGGAGGTAATATTGTACAGTTTTCAATATCTACTCCAGAAAGGAGCACTATTTATTGCATCTTCACTCCAAGTTGCTGCAGCTGGAGCTAAAAAAATGAAATGTTTCCCAAATCCCAAACTTTTTAAAAAGCACTAATTCATCCCAAGACCTATCAATGTGCCAAGTCTGGTGAAAGATTTTGAACAGTTTTCAAGATCTGCTCTGGGATCTTGAAGGGATGGTCAATATACTACTAGTATTTCCACAGCGTTTGAACTATTGTGACATTTTACCTTATTGCAATCGATAATATTTCAACAAAGTGGCAACTATTATAATATCATTGCAACAATGTCATATTTATTGCAATATTATTGCTATAACTGATATATTACAAAATTTTATGAAAAAGGCTTCAACTTTTGCGACAGTATTATTATTGTAATACTGTTTGAAAACGTCACATGTACTGAAATATAATGCTGAAACAATACCATTAATTCTCATAAGTCTGAAAACAACAGGCGCTCCAATCTATTCATACAAACATCTGACAGATCATTTGAAAATGCAGCTAATAAATCCAGCATATACAATCAACAAAAGTATTTTGCTAGTCATATTTCAAGAGCATATATGATATAGACAATGATTGACTGACTGACAAGTGGTCAGTGGAGTTGTATCACAGACAGAGGGCTTCCACCGGGCTTACGTCACCCTGTGAGAATAACAAAACAACAATCCGAACATCACAACTGTTTGTGTTTCAAAACAGCAAGGTTCTCTACAAGAATGACAGTGCCACTACACTGAAGAATTTCTACAAAGAACCGATAAGTGGTTCTGGGAGATTGGTCTGGTTTGGTTTGTTTGGTGTTTAACGCCACATTCAGCAATATTCCACCTATATAACAACATATAAGTGGCGGTGGTCCTAGGAGAAAGGATACATTGTTGCACTGGTGCATCATGATTTGCGAGTCATGTGACGATACAATACACCATACATGTTTTTCTGTATTGATACAAGATGATACAATTGATAAAAGAAATTTCTTGCGACAATTTTTCAATGATCCATAAGCATTTTAAAGTCAAATATAGAAATTAGCATTTCATGTGTAGTACTTAAAAAAGCTGCTATGAACATATTTCTTCAGTTTCTATTTCGAACCTGCTCTGAAATACATATGACATTGTGACCTTTGTATAAGCAGAATATGTTTACTAGATATCCGAGAAGTGTACATTCACTCTGTTAATTCAAAATATTGTTTTAACTAATGAGCCTAAGGTTTGCTACAGTCAGTACCACCGTTACACAAAATTTAGAGATTCATTGAAATCCCAGCAGCAAGTGGTCAGTGGGGCAGCTTCCTGTTAAAGTGTTTACTCACCACACCCAGGGGTGGAAATAACTTTAAAATTGCTAGTGTACTCCGGTACAGTGGTACATGTAAAATCACTTGCCCTGACAATTTTTCCACTATACCGGACGTTTTCTTGTTGATTTTTTAAAGAAACAACATAATCAATATTGGAAAGTCAACTGGACTCTGGTACAGTGTGATATACAAATTTGCTTGCCCGACAGAAAAAAACACTGGACTCGGGCGTCGGGCAATGGGTTATTTCCACCCTGCACACCGAACACCTAAGTTCAATTCTCTACATATGTACAGTGTATGAAGCCCATTAGTAACGTCCCGCCAAGATATTGCTGGAATATTTCTAAAAGTGGCTTAAAACCTTACAATTTACATCATATATTGCGAATAAGCTGATATTGCCAAACAGTTCGAATGACATCCCACATTAAGAAATGGGAGCTCTTTCTCAACTTTTTACTTCAGAATATCATTAATAATACAGAATTGTAATAACACCATAACACATATGACATTCTATCACTCATGAAATACTGTCTATTTCAAGTCATACTTCAAACAGCATTTGAGGCAATACAAGGGCTCATTTGGTCCTATCTTAACTTGGTGACTCAATACTATCTCACACTTGTATGCAAATACTTACTCTATTAAGAACTATCAATTAATTTTATGCAAAACATGTATTGAACTGTTAATATGTGATACCTGAGATTAAGGTTGGATGCAATCTATATTTTTAAACATTAAGGCCAGACCTCTTTCTAACTTGGTTTTCAGGATCCATAAAATTGAAAAGTTAAAACATAAAATAAAAGCTGTCTTTATTTCATTCTCAGGTTCATTTAGTGGCACTATGAATAGAAAAGATAATATTTTTTCAAATACTTTAATTAAAACCAGTTGAAAAATTTACCTTAAAACCCTAAACACTGAGTGCCCCGATGTCTTTCCCACCAGACATTTGGAGTGAGTGAGTATGGTTTTACTCCACTTTTAGCAATATTCCAGCTATATCACGGCGGGGAACACCAGAAATGGGCTTCATTTATTGTACCCATGTGGGGAATCAAACCCAGGTCTTCGGCATGACAAGCGAATGCTTTAACCACTAGGCTACCCCACCACTCCCCTAATATTTGAAGGAAATAAAACAAAAATATTTGAAATTGGAATTTATAAAAATGAGATCAACCTTTCAACAGTCCCAAAATCTGCAAACCCTAAAAAGGTCTGGCCCAATAGGTTATGAGCAATTTTCATTGTTTGTTTCCTAATAATAGTAATATACACTGAAACAGCATCAAGCTGGTCAGTACTGTTTCCCAGTGACACTGGCTACATTAAAGACAGGTAGATAGTAGTGGTGGTCCGATTAATTGAAATAATCAAAGATTGGTTGCAATGACAAAACAACCAAGTAATCGATCATGTTTTCTCATAACCGAACACAAACAATTTTGGAACACTTGTTTGCATTAATAATATTTATCACAGGGTTGGTTTTGTCTGTTACATTTCACTACATTTCACAAGCACTACAAGCTCGTTCCAGTCATGATTGAATTTATTTAAAGACTCCAGGATATTTATGTTCCTAACATACTAGGCATCCTTTAAAGATGTGAAATTTTCAATGCATTTTGGGCAATTTACAAAATATCCTGAAAGAACTACATGTTTTTTCTATATTTTTTGTGCATTAATAAACATAGCCAGTAAAATTTGATAAATGATGCTAACAAATTATTTTCGATGATTTATCAGTTGTAATGAACCCATCATCAATTATGAGATTTGAACCAATTCCCAACACTAGTAGATTGAGCAGGGTATCTGGAATACCAGGGCCTAGATTATCGAAGCTCTCTAAGCGCTAAGATAGTCCTAAATGCCATACATTAACATTAACTTACGACTATCTTAGCGCTAAGAGAGCTTCGAAAATCTAGGCCCCAGAGTCTAACTGTACATTATGTGACAAGAGGATCACAGGAACTGACTAAACTAAAAGCAATAACTGGAAATGCTTTAAATGCTGATTATAAATTATTATTAATGTAAAATAATTCTAGAAATAAATACTTTGAATGACCATCATATTTCATTAAATTTAACATTCAATTCACTTTATACATAATTGTTTCTGCAATTTTTTCTTTAATGTATATCAGAATAAATAATCACAGACATTTATACCTGACAAGCTTATCAAGCTAAAACGGTCCTGAACAATGTTTTTCCTTAATTTGCTATGAATTTATAGATCAGTAATTCTCAAATTTAACTTACTATTCACATGATTATAAAAGTATTGATCAATGTGAATAACATCCTAATTAGTGCTGCTGTACAGTGTATGACATCAAACTTTTATAAAGTAACTGAAATTATTCTGAATACACGTTCCATGAACCTATCTCAATAATTAACATAATATTATCTACAAATTGAAGAAAAAGATAGTCCTACACATCTCATTGCCTGCATCACTATAGGACTGTAGGACTAATAACACTTGATAAATGCCATTATTATTTCTAGATGTAGTGTGAATTTGAATGCTGTATATTTTATTATAAATGCAGGATATTATATTTACAGATTCACGATACAAAATCAAAGTTTAACAGTTTGAAAATAGCAAATCTTACAGTGGTTTAAAAAATACTAATATTGAAAAATCATTCTCTCAGATTCAGATACTTATTTCCAGAAGATGGTTTCAAGATAGATAAGAATAATATACCGGAGCATGATATAAACATATACTGAAGGAAACACATACAGGAACACAGTAATTGCAGTTTACTGCCCTGTTAGACATAAATGCCTGGGCTCAAAGAACAAGATTGAGGTGCAGTTTTAGAAATTACAGTACACTGCTTATGATTGACCTTGTCATTATAGCACAACAACGGTTAAATCTCTATCACAGACTTGGCAATGTGCTGAGATCACTCAGCGGGATATGCCATGTACATAATGTTTGTCAAATAATTCACTTCCCAGATGTTGCCTTGTTTCTGTCCATCAGTATCACAGCATTACTTCTGGGCCTTGTTAAACTAATGGCACATTCGCCATGTGGCATCAGACGAGTCTTCTGGCTGAAACTTCTGGTCCAGCGATGATGAAGGCACTATAAAACTGCAGCAAGGCGCCAAACAAGACGAGGAGGTTATCCCTATCTGTGGAGTTAAGAAAACGCATAAATCAGCATTATGAAACTTCAGCCAGTCATACAATCACAATGCTACATCATGGTAACATTACCTTAGATTTATTTTTAATGCAATGTAATTTTATGGTTTGACAAAATCTACTTTTGATTTAACATTCAACATTCCGCCAGAAACATTTTAATTCATTAATGAAGTTCAGCTGTTTATGACAATAGATTTCTACAGAACTCGTTCCTTTCCCAACGGTTTGTTTTGATACACACGAAAAAAATGTTTTCATGCATACATGACACGTTTTATGGATAAGAACTTCTTCTGAGCACTGAAACATCGTATAAAGAATTTAGAGAAGTTGTTGTCGATAAAATGTGTCATGTATTCATGTTCGTCCAACTTCTAAATGGCTTTCAAGAACTAGCCTCTTTCTGGTGTAGGTGTTGACAGATGTTTTTACTTGGTTATTTGAATCATGTTGTTATGTTTCCAAACGAAGAACTTTGTTTGTAATAAACATGTATAATGTTTACTTCCCCTATAGAGTGAGTGAACTTAGTTTTGTGCTGCTTTTAGCAATATTCCAGCAATATCACAGCAGTGGACACCAGAAATGGGCTTCACATATTGTACCCATGTGAGGAATCGAACCCGGGTCTTCAGCATGATGAGCAAACACTTTAAACCCCTTGGCTACACCTATTTGATACTTGAAATCTGGTTCTTAAATTTTCATTCCTTTCAGCTTTTTATTTTTTTAATCTGCAGATTAACACTGGGGATCAGGTTGTCAAGTTAAGTAATGAAAGACCGACGTAGTTTTGTATAGAAAGCTGCAAAACCAACAAAATATAAATACTTATAAAAATTTGTTTGAACAAAATGTTTTAAGATTGTCTGTTAGACAATCAATAGTCTCTGAATAAATATAATTTTGATTTGAACAAATAAACCCATTTAAATTGAAAAGGAGCCCCAGGGAGACGAGAGACTCAGAACCTAAGCCTGAGGAAATCTAGACTTGCTTCACTTAATAGGGCTTTAGAATTGCAGGGTGAGAAAATAGTATGGTGCAGGGATTGTGAGACAGAACTAGATTGTGTGTAGAGGGTTGAAACTTTAGGTTCAGTTACTTTTCATAGGATTCATGATTGTTTGCTAGTTTAGCTAGCTAATTTTACATACAATAAGCATTTGGGATAAAAACATAGATGGAGACAAGTATCCGGTAATTTAATTGTATGATCATGCTTTTTATCACACCAGCGGCACAGTGATACAAGGTATTTGATACCAAAATGGGAGATAACTATGCTCACCACCAATGGTACAGTGATACAAGGTATTTGATACCAAAATGGGAGATGACTATGCTCACCACCAAGGGTACAGTGATACAAGGTATTTGATACCAAAATGGGAGATGACTATGCTCACCACCAATGGTACAGTGATACAAGGTATTTGATCCCAAAATGGGAGATAACTATGCTCACCACCAAGGGTACAGTGATACAAGGTATTTGACAGATACAAGGTATTTGATACCAAAATGGGAGATGACTATGCTCACCACCAAGGGTACAGTGATACAAGGTATTTGATACCAAAATGGGAGATAACTATGCTCACCACCAATGGTACAGTGATACAAGGTATTTGATACCAAAATGGGAGATGACTATGCTCACCACCAAGGGTACAGTGATACAAGGTATTTGATACCAAAATGGGAGATGACTATGCTCACCACCAATGGTACAGTGATACAAGGTATTTGATCCCAAAATGGGAGATAACTATGCTCACCACCAATGGTACAGTGATACAAGGTATTTGATACCAAAATGGGAGATAACTATGCTCACCACCAATGGTACAGTGATACAAGGTATTTGATACCAAAATGGGAGATGACTATGCTCACCACCAAGGGTACAGTGATACAAGGTATTTGATACCAAAATGGGAGATAACTATGCTCACCACCAAGGGTACCAAGGGGTACAGTGATACAAGGTATTTGATACCAAAATGGGAGATGACTATGCTCACCACCAAGGGTACAGTGATACAAGGTATTTGATACCAAAATGGGAGATGACTATGCTCACCACCAAGGGTACAGTGATACAAGGTATTTGATACCAAAATGGGAGATGACTATGCTCACCACCAAGGGTACAGTGATACAAGGTATTTGATCCCAAAATGGGAGATAACTATGCTCACCACCAAGTGGTACAGTGATACAAGGTATTTGATCCCAAAATGGGAGATGACTATGCTCACCACCAATGATACAGTGATACAAGGTATTTGATCCCAAAATGGGAGATGACTATGCTCACCACCAATGGTACAGTGATATGGGACCCTGTCTTCAAAGTGCCGATTATGAAAAATCCCTCACTCAAATCTGATTTAAGCCTTAGCACTAAGACTGCTTTGCATTGCAAAACACCTCTGACCAGTGTTCCTGTTTTCAAAGAACCATATGACACATGCCTCTCTGACCAGCCAACCAGTTAGTCTGTCTCACGGACAATGAACCTCATTATTTTCACTTTTGTCTAACCCTTTCTGCAATACAAAATCTCTAAATGAAAGAAGTCCAGATTTCCTTGGGTTCAGGTAGAATTTCCCTCCTCACTGGCACACCTTTTCCATTTAGAAGGAATTTGTTTCTATCAAAATTACATATATTCAAAGACTAAGCGTTAGCCTACCAACCATTGTGTCAGAACCATATGACACATGCATCCCTGACCAGCCAACTAGAGAACCATATGACACATGCATCCCTGACCAGGCAACCAGTGTTCCTGTTATCAGAGAACCATATGACAACCATGCATCCCTGACCAGCCAGCCAGTGTTCCTGTTATCAGAGAACCATATGACACATGCATCCCTGACAAACCATATGAAACTAGTGTTCCTGTAAACAGAAAACCATATGTCAACCAGTGTTCCTGTTAACAGAGAACCATATGACAACCAGTGTTCCTTTCATCAGAGAACCATATGACAACCAGTGTTCCTGTTAACAGAGAACCATATGACAACCAGTGTTCCTGTTAACAGAGAACCATATGACAACCAGTGTTCCTGTTAACAGAGAACCATATGACAACCAGTGTTCCTGTTAACAGAGAACCATATGACAACCAGTGTTCCTTTCATCAGAGAACCATATGACAACCAGTGTTCCTGTTAACAGAGAACCATATGACAACCAGTGTTCCTGTTAACAGAGAACCATATGACAACCAGTGTTCCTGTTAACAGAGAACCATATGACAACCAGTGTTCCTGTTAACAGAGAACCATATGACAACCAGTGTTCCTGTTAAGAGAGAACCATATGACAACCAGTGTTCCTGTTAAGAGAGAACCATATGACAACCAGTGTTCCTGTTATCAGAGAACCATATGACAACCAGTGTTCCTGTTAACAGAGAACCATATGACAACCAGTGTTCCTGTTAACAGAGAACCATATGGCAACCAGTGTTCCTGTTAACAGAGAACCATATGACAACCAGTGTTCTTTCATCAGTCCTATATGAACAGAGAACCATATGGCAACCAGTGTTCCTATAAACAGAGAACCATATGACAACCAGTGTTCCTGTTAACAGAGAACCATATGACAACCAGTGTTCCTGTCATCAGAGAACCATATGGCAACCAGTGTTTCTGTTAACAGAGAACCATATGACAACCAGTGTTTCTGTTAACAGAGAACCATATGACAACCAGTGTTCCTGTCATCAGAGAACCATATGACAACCAGTGTTCCTGTTAACAGAGAACCATATGACAACCAGTGTTTCTGTTAACCAGAGAACCATATGACAACCAGTGTTCCTTTCATCAGAGAACCATATGACAACCAGTGTTCCTGTCATAACAGAGAACCATATGACAACCAGTGTTCCTTTCATCAGAGAACCATATGACAACCAGTGTTCCTGTTAACAGAGAACCATATGACAACCAGTGTTCCTATCATCAGAGAACCATATGACAACCAGTGTTCCTTTCATCAGAGAACCATATGATAACCAGTTTTCCTGTTACCAGAGAACCATATGACTACCAGTGTTCCTGTTATCAGAGAACCCTCCTTCTTCAATGCCACTAGCCTAATTCTACCAATTCCTCGAAATGGCGTTACTGTCACACTGAACTGGCATCCTACAACAAGTTTAAATTGGATGCGTACTTCCATACTTCAAAACAAGATTGTTTAATGGATTTTGAATCGACACAAACTATTGACAAAGGGTGTCATCAAGTAATCTACAATCTGTCTACCGAACTGAGTTTAACCAGATAAAAAACAAATCAGGCATGATCATCTCTTAGTCAACATCCCTACAACACTAAAACAATTTAAACTCCCCCAAACACCCATTAATAAAATATTGATGTGAACTTATCAAGTTTGATTCATTACATAACACATCCAGTTCAAAAATACCCACATCACGATTAAAGATTTATTGCCCTGAGATTTATAGGCTGCAGCCAAGTAGTAGCTACGATCGGGAACACTGTTTACCAGGCGATGAAGCTGCCAATCTCTATGTTTCCAGATCACAATTATGACAGCTTTACAATGCTGAAATCTGCACTGTTTAGCCAAGCAGGTGATTATTTTCTCGTAAATCATCCCCAAATGCCACAATAGCCAATTGATTTTCATTGCTTGTAAACAGCATGTGCTTCTTAAGGAGAAATCCGTTTCACCTTGGTGAAAGGCGATCGTATCGTCTGTGATAGTGTCAGTGCAGTTGATCTCAACATATGCTGCAATTCGCATGTAGCAACCGGCTCATGGTATCAATACAGCATTCACAGTTAACCAATGACAAATGATGTCTCCAAACCAGGCTAGGTATTCTGGTACAGTAGGGTATAGTCTTTACCCTGTATCATATTTGTATCTAGCTTGTGGTCTAAATATTATGTACATATATTTGGGAAATTGATCAAAATGTTCT